TATAGTTCTCCCTGTGTGATTCTAACGTTCAGCCAGAGTTGAGAGCCACTGTCATCAAGGACGAGCTTTATCTTCTGACTTACAGATGTTCGCTCATCCAGTGAATCTAATAGCTGTGTCACATTATTTAGATACGATAAAAATATGAGTGACTGTCACTTGCTGTGTGCCCTTGAAAGAATCACTTAAATCCTATAAACTTCAGTTTCCTCTTCTCCAAAATAGAGATAAATATGGGCACAGTGGTTAAACATTTGGCTGCTAACCAAAGGTCAGAAGTTTGAATCCACCAGCCGCTCCTTGGAAACCCCCAGGGGCAATTCTACGCTGTCCTATAGGGTCTCTATGAGACAGAATCAACTCAATGGCAGTGGGTTTGGTTTTTATGTTTTTTTAATTCCTACCTTAGAGCATAGTAGTGGGGATTTAAATAACATACAGCAGGTAACTAGGACAATGCTTAGCATATAAAACAAAAACCAAACTTGTTGCCATCGAGTTGATTCCAACTCATACTGACCCTATAAGACAGAGTAGAACTGCCCCATAGGGTTTCCAAGGCTGTAATCTTTATGGAAGCAGACAGCCACATCTTTCTCCCGCGGAGCAGCTGGTGGGTTGGAACCACTGACCTTTCGGTTAGCACCAGAGAACTTAACCACTGCGCCACCAAGGCTCCTTGGCTAGAAGATGTTGTTTTGTTGCTGTTAGGTGCTGTCAAGTTGATTTCAACTCATAGCGACCCTATGTACAACAGAATGAAACACTGCCTGGTCCGGCACCATCCTCACAATCATTGATACATTTGAGTCCATTGTTGTACCCACCATGTCAATCTATCTCATTGAGGCCCTTCCTCTTTTTCACTGACCCTCTATTTTACCAAGCATGATGTCCTTCTCCAAGTACTAGTCCTTCCTGATAACAGGTCCAAAGTAAGTGAGACAAAATCTTGCCATCCTTGCGTCTAAGGAGCATTCTGGCTGTAATTCTTCCAAGACAGATTTGTTGGTTCTTCTGGCAGTCCATGGTTTATTTAATATTCTTCACCAACACCATAATTCAAAGGCATCCATTCTTCAGTCTTGCTTATTCATTGTCCAGCTTTCACATGCATACAAGGTGATTGAAAACACCATGGCTTGTGTCAGGCGCACCTTAGTCCTCAAAGTGATATCTTTGCTTTTTAACACTTTAAAGAGGTCTTTTGCAGCAGATTTGCCCAATGCAGTGCATTTAGTAAGTACTAAATAAAATAGGAACTGTTGCAAAGAACTGTGGAAATGAAAGAATAAAGCAGTGACCCATGGTGGACTAGTTGTACATAATACTCACTTACTCATCATGTAAAGAGAACCCAGCCAGTAACCTGTTGAGAAGGAAACTGGCATAAAGTATCAAAGGCCGTCTAAGGAGAAAGTAATTTTGGAATTAGGTTGTTTTTCTTTTTTTCTGAAAAGCAGTTGATTCTGTAAGGCTATAAAAAAACTGAAATAAAAGCATGATGAGAAATGCCCCTCATGGAAAGTTAGGAGGTAGCAACCTTTTGGATTTTTTTTTCCTACTCAATTTTAGGCTATTAATCAGAGGTTTTAAAGTAAAGGATTTCTCAGTTTTTTCTTTTAAAAATCCTCTGTTTACTTGAATGTGTGAATATATGATAAATAAACCAAACCAAACCCTTTGCTCCCAAGTTGATTCCAACTCACAGCGACCCTATAGGACAGAGTAGAACTGCCCTATAGGATTTCCAAGGAGCACCTGGTGGATTCAAACTGCTCACCTTTTGGTGAGCAGCCATAGCTCTTAACCACTGTGCCACCAGGGCTCCATATGATAAATACGTATGTGTGTGTGTGTGTGTGTGTGTGTGTGTGTGTGTGTGTGTGTGTAATCAATGCCTAAAAGAGAATCATTATTACAGCACATACATTTAAAAATAACGGAGGACTTTACAAATGGATCAACAGCACTTTAGAACCAAAGGGTGAACTATGGAGTCTTCAAAATGTGATAATAATGTCAAAAGTAGAATCACTCCCTGGGTTCTCAGTCAAAGTCCTGACTCTACACTACCCTTGCAGAAACCACACCAGAAGTCCCCATGTCCCCGTGACTTTACATGGGACATTAACTGTATTCTGAACTGATTCTAGACTCTTCCGTTTTCCTGCCAGAGTGGCCTTCAGAAAACAGAGACCTGATTATCTTTTTGCACCATTTAAACAACACTTAATGATTTCAAATCAAAGTCCTACCTCCTTCATAGAGCATCCCTAGCCCCACCCCAACCCTTCTCTAATCTTAATTTGACTGCCTCCCCACTCTGTGCTTCACAGAGCTCTTGTATCACTGCTACAGCACTAATTACAGTTTTCCTAGTGCTGGCAAATGTTCAGGAAGTCATAGTAGGTAGCATTTTAAGGGAAAAGAATATAGACTTTTGAGCCAGACTAGATCTGGGTTCAAACTCTGGCTCTCAGAAAAGACACTTCATTTTTCTGAATCTCAGCTTCATCTGTAAACTGAAGAAAATATTACCAGACTTGCATGGATCAGTGGGCGGGAGTAAATGAGAATGTGCAGGAAAGTTCTGCAAGAAGTAGTATCTATTATTACCACAATTATTCAGCTCTTCTCCCCGACAAGTGCAGTAACAGTACCTTGCAGCCTCTTACCCTTCGTGGTGTTTTCCGAATTGAATGTAAGCAGCCCAAATTGATGGCATCTGCTGCCTGGATCTCACAAAGCTATTAGTTTTTTGACATCTGTTTTGGATTTCAGAAAGAAATTTCCATTTTTAGGCAACAGCAGCATTTTTCTTGTGGCATTTCAATATGTCTCAGTCTTGAAATTATTATAAATTTTGCTTGAAGAATCCACGTCAGCAAAGCCATGAAGAACATCACAGCCTAGGAGCATGTCCACTTTACCTAGGCCAAAGAGAGCACACGCTTCCGTACAAAGAGCCTGAACACCACGGAACACTGAGTCGGCTTTTAATGACATTGCCCTTTGTTCAGCTGTTTAAATAGCAGCAGTGACGGAGTTTAGGAAGCTCTTAATTATCCACAACATTGCCCAGACAGGGGGAGCAGAGATCACAGGACCCTGGTTTTCTTTGATGTCTAGAATGGTGACAATCACACAGGATGCACTCAGAATGGGTTCTTGCATGGGTGTGTGTGTGTGTGTGGGTGTGTATATGCTTTAGGCGAAAGTTTACAGAGCAAATTCATTTCTCATTAAACAATTAATACACAAATTGTTTTGTGACATTGGTTGCCAACCCAGTAATGTGTCAACACTCTCCACTTCTCAACCATGAGTTCCTCATTTCCATTCTTCCGGTTTTCCTGTCCCTTCCTGCCTTCTCATCTTTGCCCCTGGGCTGGTGTGCTGAGTTAGTTTCGTATACAGGGTTGAACTGTGTGTATTATTGTTGGTTTTATAGGCCTGTCTAATCCTTGGCTGAAGGGTGAGCTTTAGGAGTGATCAGTACTGAGTTAAAAGGGTGTCCGGGAGCCATACTCTCAGTGTCAGAATATGTTCTTAATGACAATCGTCATTGACTCCCTTTTCTTGTCTCCCAATTTCCTTATAAAACTCCAAAAAGAAAAAGCCACCTTTGTGTTCAGTGGTTTCTGAATTATTTCCTGTGGAAAGCAGAATTTTCTAAAGCACCATCCTTCATAAATCCTCTGAGTATTTCTTTGTCTCCTTCCAATGTAAGTGGAACGTATGAGTAACATTCCAGGGAAAGCATGGGGTGGGAGGACTGAATTTCCAGAGGAAAATTTCTGGCTGTCAGAAATACGATAGAACCATCATAGGTACATGTAATCAGCTATGTTCATCATGAGGCATCAATTGAGGTCATGTTTTTTATGTGTCAGTATGAATATCTCAATTTTCTCCATCAAAAACCAAACCAAACCTGTTAGCATCCAGTAGATTCCAACTCATAGCGACTCTATAGGACAGAGTAGAACTGCCCCATAGGGTTTCCAAGGAGCAACTGGTGGACTCAAACTGCTGAACTTTTGGTTAGCAGCCAAGCTCTTAACCACTGCAAATAATCTAGACAAATGGGCAGAGTTGTCAGGATCCCAGAGTTAAACGAAATCACCCTGCCCTCATGTGCAATAATATTTCAGGACCAAGGACAGAGCCACATAGGGTTTAATGCCCACCTATCTCTATATAACTAAGGTATTTTTAAATATGTTTTAATTTCTGCTCAGATGTTTATGCACTCATCTAATATATTGTTTTACTGAATACTGTTTGCATGTCAGACCTTGCTATTATATACAAACACTTATCAGCCAGTGATAGCTCTCAAGGAGCCCATATTAGAACTGTAACAGGAGACGAGAAATACAGGCAAGTTAATGAATAATTATAACACTATAACAAATGCTGTCATAGAGTTACATACAAGTCATGTGGGAGCCAGGGAGGAAATGACAATCATTAACTCTGCCTGGTGCAGTCACGGAAGGCTTTACAAAGGAGTTGACATTTGAGCTGGGTGTTGAGGATTGAGTGAAGTTCGCAAGACACAGAGGGGACTCTGTGAAAGGGTACACAGTGTACTCAGGGAATTCCAGAAAGTAGTTTGATGTGACTGAAAAGTGGGGTGAGTGGGAGGTTGAGGTAAGAAATAAGGAATAGGCTAGGCCAGATCACCAAGGACTTGTATACCAAGCTAGGGATTTAGGGCTTCTCCTGGGAAAACAGAGCCATTGAACAGTTTTGATCAGGGACATGATCTGATAATATTTGTGTTTTAGAAAGATAGTTCAGACAGCAAGAGAGAGCATAGACTCTGAGAAAGGAAATGAGAGGGCAGAAGGGCAGACAAAGGTGACATTTCCCCATACTGTCCTGGGAATGTGAGGTGCTACATCCCAACGACGGCTGGACAGGGGAGAGTTGACTTGGCCATCTCCCACAGCTGTTCATCAGTGTGTCCTGTGCGGATTGTGTCTCTCCAGATTCCTCCAAGAAGATAAAGGATGTCTTGACTGAATTTAATGAGGGAGGGAGCCTCGAAAAGTATGACCCACATGAGGTAAGAACATTTCCATTTTAAGCCTTAAAAAAACAAACAAAAAAAAAAAAAAACCTGTGTTTCAGACTTTCCACAATTTGTTTCCCTCTTAGAAGCTTACCTCACCCTGGAGAACTTCTTTCTCGACACATTTTCTCACGTTCTCAAGTGAGACTTAGTGCTACTTGGCATCATACATTTCCCAAGTCCATGTCCTCCCACTCTTCTAAAAAACTATATCATGCCTTCTCCTCCATCCTCAGATCTCTTACTCCTCCTCTCCAACCCTCACTCTCAGTTAACAACTTTGTTTTCTACTTCACTGAGAAAATAGAAGCAATCAGAAGAGATCTTCACAGGTCCTTCACCTCCACCTCGTCTGCCCACCTACCTGTACTCTTCTTCTGTAACTAGGAATGAACCATCCACACGCCTATCCAAGTCCCACCTCTCCACTTGTGGACTTAATCCCATCCTCCCTCAAGCTTTTGAAGGACATTGCTTCAGCCGTGTATTCCCATTCTCTCGCTCGCTCCCCTCCTCTCTCTCTTGCATCAACTTCAACCTATATAGTAGTTTTCCCCGTCAACGTATAAACATGCAGTTATTTCTTTTATATTAAAAAGCATTCACTCTTGATTTCACTTTTCCCTCCATCTACCATCCATTTCTCTCCTGCCCTTTACAGCAATACTGTGCAAAAGATTTGTCCATACTCACTGATTCCAATTTCCCTCCTTCCTACTTTCTTGAAAGCCCTTCAGTTAGCCTGTATCCCCATTCCTCACTAAAACAAATTATCAAGATAACCAAGGATCTCCATATGGCTAAGCCTACTGACCATTTTACTGATCAGCACCAGGCACAGTTGATCAAATCCTCCTCCTTGAAACACTTTATTAGGTTCTTAGGACAATAAACTCTCGTGGTTTTCTTCTCACCTCTGCTTGATATTTCCACTTAAATAGACATCTCAAGCTTAGCAAGAGCTCAACTGAGCTCCTAAATTTACGCTACAAAACTTATTTTTCCAGTCATCTTCTCCATTTCAGTAAATGAGAATTCCATTCTTCAAGTTACTCAACCTAAAACTTTGGAGTCATCAGTTCACTTTTCTCCTTCGCTCATGGCCCACATCTAATTCATCAGCAAACCCTGTTATTTTTACCTTCAAAATATATCCAAAATCTAGACACATTTCACCATCTGCACTGCTTATATCCTGACCGAGGCATCACCATATTTTGCCCAGATTATTGCAGTTGTCTCCTAGCTGATCTCCTGCTTCTGCCCTTACCCTCTGAAGTCTATTCTTCACACACATGCCGAACAAGCCGCTAAAACTTAAATCACATCACCACTCTGCTCAACACTCTCGCATGGTGTCTCCTACACCCTACTCCCGGTAAAAGTCAAGGTCATTACAACGTGCACCACCATCCCACTTCCCGACCACATCTCCTGCTACTCTCCTCCTCCTTGTTGCTTTCCATCCATATTAGCCTCCATGATGCTCTCAGACAAGCCCATTCCTGCCCTAACCCCAGCACCTTTGCGCTTGCTGTTCCCTCTTCCTGGAATGTTTTTCCCCAGATAACCACACCTCCTTTGAGTCTTTGCTCCAACGTCACTTTCTCAGTGAGTGTCACTTCTCTATCTAAAATGTTAAACCCTCTTTCCTGACACTTTTTGGATACCCCCTGCTCTGCATTCTCTTCCTCCTTAATACTTCTCACCATCTGTCGCACTATGTAATTTACTTATTTAATTGTCTGTCTCCCCGACTAGAATATTTTTATTCACTGCTGTATCCCCAATGCCGAGAACAGTGTCTGACTCATAGCAGACACACAATAAATATTTGTGAAGTGAATAAATGAATGCAAGGCTTCTCTCCGCTTTCCAATTTATCTCATCTAACATTTCTGGGGCAATCAAGCACTGTACTGGACATTGTAGAAGATATAAAGATGAGGAAGCACAGTCTCTGTCCTCAAGGAACTTACGTCCTACTGGCAGGGTCAAGTTCAAGAGCCATGATCTTGGAGTCATAGTCTTAGGTTACAATCCTATTTGTGCTACCAACCAGCAATATGGCCTTGAATATTTCACCTCGTACAGCTTCAATTTCCTCACCTCTGAGAGTAACAAGGAGACCTGGTGGCACAGTGGTTAAGAGCTCGGCTGCTAACCAAAAGGTGTGCAGTTCGAATCCACCACCTGCTCCTTGGAAACCCTATGGGGCAGTTCTACTCTGTCCTATAGGGTCACTGTGAGTCAGAATTGACTCAGTGGAAATGGGCTTGGTTTTTGGTTTTGAAGATAACAAAAGCAAAAAGCAAAAAACCTTCGAAGTTTGTGGCATGATTGCATTAAATGAGGTAATTTTTGCAAAGTGCCGAACACTTTACAGGACACTTAAAAAATGATACCCGTTATTTCTCTTCTGCCCCCCCCCTTTCCCAGAATGCCTTAAACTAAATTCCCTTCCTGCTCTTAGGCACAGGGATTAAGCGCTTGGCTGCTAACCAAATGGTTGGCAGTTTGACTTCACCAGCCGCTCTGTGGGAGAAAGATGCGGCAGCCTGCTTCTGTAAAGATGACGGCCTTGGAAACCCTCTGGGGCAGTTCTGCTCCGTCCTACAGGGTCAC